TCATTGCAGAAATCAGATATTGTTTTAGCATGGATTCAGGTAACCACTCCTCTACCTACCACCCCGATCATATTTGTAATAGCCAACCAGTGACTTTCTAGTGAAAGTGGGTTTTCTAAGAAATCCAAAGAAGCAGTGGTCAGAGCCACAATCACTATTGCATCAGTTAGATTTTTGCTCAGTTTCCAAGTAAAGGTGACTGCAAAGTCCCCCATTCACTGGACCCTTCTGGCAAGACTGGCTTTAGACCCACCTCACTTGATAGAGGATCAGAAAGACAGCTAAAGAAATCAGATATATGTCAGTGGCAGGTATAGCTAAGGATGAAGGAATAAGATAGAATAATATCACAAATAATATAGAATAAATTTCATGAAACATTAAATCACTTGTTGTCTTAAAATATCTAGACCCTGTCTGATGCACAGCTTGTTAGTGGCTACTTATTGGCTTGAAGATAATTGTCATGCTGTTCTTATATTGGTGAATTATGCAGAGCTTCCTATCCTTGATCCAAGAGAGTAAAATTGCCAGATCCACTTGTAGAAGTTCAACTGGGTCAATGCTGTGCCTGAGACCAGCTTGCAATATTCTTTCGTACCTGTAACAAGTTTGCTCTCACAAAGTGCTTTCCTATTTTACCCTTTCTGATACTTCCACATCTTTTCTATTCATCTGTTGTTGGCTTAGATGCTATATTTCACTGCTGTTTATTTTATTGTGACCTGCTTTCACCACACTTTGATGTAAAAAGGTGAGCTAAAAAGTACGATAAATATGCATGTGTAGGAATCTTTCCCCATGAATAGGAACCCCTCAGTTCCAGAGTCTCCATTCACAGGGAGAAAAGATGGCATGTGCATGTAGATAAACCTACTGCAAGTGCACATCAGGATCTGTTTCATAAGCTTGGCCACAGCAGTACAGATACCAGTAACCTGGAGAAGTGCAGCATGACCTGAGCGGAGTTGTCCTAAGGCTGGTCCAGAAGTTGCAGCTAGCCCAAAATGCAACGACTTGGCTTTGCCTGGGGCTGCTGCTTTTCAGGATGTAACCCCTTCACTGAGGGAACTTCTCTGGCTGCCTATTTGCTCCTGGGCAAGGTTTGCAACCAGGATGCTTGAGAAACCATCTTTTCCCCGTGAGCTCGTCCAATCACTGCAATCATCAGATGAAGCATTTCTGGTGGATCCACATGGACCAGTGATCTACTGAGAGCCCCCTTGGAGTAGAACTTTCAGTGTACTAGCTTCTTCTCTATGAAATTCTCTGCCAGGTGGTGTTAGGCTGGCACCAACATTGTTTTCTTTCCGGCAACTTCTAAAGACGTTTTCATTTAAACAAGCTTTCCCTGAGTGTTCAGGTATGAGCTTACTGGTTTCGCTAGCATAACTTGACTTTAAATATTGTTTTATTCTGCCTTTGGACTAATCAGGAGTCCTGCTAAGTAAAAAACAGTCTAGAATACTGATAGATAAATAAGCAAAGAGCAGTTTGCAAAGCCAGGTACTACCATGATGCCCCAACCCAAGACATCTTTATTGAACACACAGCTCCAGAGACATTGCTGCAAGGGACTTTAATTCTTTTTGAATTCTTTCAGTCAAGGAAGGATAAACATTTTCCCTTCGCAATTTGCAGATAGGGTCTGTGAACCTAGACACAGAGCTCCACTTGTTGAAATACTGAACACGCTTCTCCTCCCACCATAATATAAACAATAAAGACTTAACTTTCAAGTAATGAAGACAGTCTTCCATTCTGTCAGTTAAATCAATATTAGAATGGAAGTTATTTACTGTTGCTTCCACAGAGATTTATCACTGCCACTGTCACTATTGACATCACTTGTCAGGATGAGGACCACCTCCAGCAGTGTGCTCAGAAATGCCAATTTCACAGTTCATGCACAATGACAACTGCTTCTAGCTCAATAAGATGAAATATCACTGCAGGTTTTTTTTAGATGTTGAATGAAGTTATATATAAAAGATAACTCAGAAACAGTTGGGAAGAGGTCTGTGGGTTGCTTTAAAAAGTGTCTTCCATGCCTCTTACTCTACCATCAACCTATTATCTGGAACCAAAATTATATAGGACTTCCAATCACATACAGAGTTTCTGTAAAAACTGGACTTCCTCATTTATTCATTCAATGGCAGAGTCACTGTTATACTTATAGTGGGAAGATGTATGCAGGTCTTTCCCAGGGGGAAATCCAAGAGATGAACAGCACACCTTGATCATGGCCAACAGGAAAGCTAAGAGTGTCAGGAAGAAAACACTCAACTAGCCATGATAGCTTCAGGGAGTTTGGGCAGAAAAAGCAAAAGCAACAGCTAGATGAGCTAATGGGTCGGAGGCACAACTTGAAAGACTGATCAGCCTACAAGAAGCTTCATTTCAGGGGAAGGCTGGAGTCAGGAAAAGAAAACCCAAGAGATCTCAGAAGAGCATTCTAAATCTATTAAAGTGAATTGGATATAGTAGTGCAACTGTGCAGAAGATTCAGCCAGAAATGCTTGTATAGCAATAGCATCAATTCTGGTATCAGAAGTCTGGATAGTATGCCATTTGATCTATGTGACTTTGTACCCTAATTTATCCCTAAAAAAGCACATGCATTTTCCATGGGAGAAAGATAATGCACTAAAAATGAGAAATTGCTTAAGGTAGTTTTGGAAAGTGTAAACATATTTCTTGTTATTTTCAATGAACCTTACAGTATTTCTTTATCAATATGGCAATACTCCTTAGATGTAAAAAACGGTGTTATATTTCAGCTGCATTAAAGTTATATGCTGGCATGTATGGGTGGGATTCTTACGATATTCATCATTCTTTTTTTGAGTGAAGGGGCTATACCAGATCACATTGTAATGAAGATAGAGGTTTTAAAATTAAGTGGTTCTGAAAATGTGGCATATTTATGGATAGTGCCACCAAAGCAAAAACTATTACAGGTAACAAAATGTTTCAATATCCTTTACATGCAAAGTAGATTTTTTTTTTCCTCCACAGTGAATTCACCCTTAATGAATATATCAACCAAAAGGATAACAAAAAGCTAACACCAGGAGAACAACAAGAAAAGACTGAGTCCTAAATAAAATTAAAATTGAAAATCCAGCAACAAAAGGAATGCTGATCCAGATGGTTGACCAAGTGATGGGATCGACTTCACAATAGCAATATATCACAGATATCGTGAGGGAAAGAACTGCCTATTAGAAGCCTCTCCACTGAAAAACATCTTCCACTGGAGTGGGAAGATAGGCAAAGGTTGTATGACAGTGTAACAATTTCCTGCATAAGCCCCCTGAAATGTGTAGTAGTCCTGCTGTGGATTTTCACAGCTAGATCCACTCTGTGAACAGATCAGGGATCTTCAACTGTTGGTTGGTGCAGAAATGTAATACATACACACTTACCAACAAAACAATAAAAACACACAAAACACACTTACCAACAAAACAATAAAATGCATGAATTTAATGGGATTTTGTGTGAGCAGGCAGGTCATTCCACCAGCATTTAGGCCCAAGGCATGAGGTGGTCAGTTTAAGCCCTGGTGTCCCTCCCAGCAAAATCCTAAAAGGAGGGTCAGTGATGTAGTATCAGAGCGTGCTTTACACATGGATCATCCCAACATTAACCCAAAGTATCTCCACCCCAAAAGGGTCTTGGCTAGTAAAGCTGGGAGCAAACATTTTCCAAATCCTTTGCGAGCTAGTGGCATTAAGAGAAAACAGCACTTGGATACGATCTGAAGGAATGCCATCCAGCCACCTTGCTGAAGTTGGACAGGTCTGATTAGTATCTAGACAGAAGAGTGGAAATGCTACATAAACCCCCTTAAGGTCCATCACAGAAGGGAATAAAAGCAGTATGTACATTTTAAAGCATTTAAAAATAAATAATCCACTAATGGGAAAAACTGAAATGCAATGTAAGAATCAGCTGAAAATTAAGGGGAACCAACGGTCTGTCTCCTCATAAGGCAACTTCATATGTTCATATGGTAAGAATATTCTTGTATGGATGTGAACATTCCAGCACCCAGAGGGAGAGAGAGAGAGCGCATCTCCTAACAGGTTCTATATCTGTGTTGCTGCTCCAGGGAGCACTGAATGGTAGCACTTGTAGTTAGTGCCCCATATGTTGCAATAGATCCCACTAGTGGAACCCAGGCACCACCTCATGGGATACATAGTTATTCATGTCTCTGCAAGGGTCCTCTCAGAAAAATTGGCATGCCCTTAGAGTTAATGGAGTCGACTTCAATATTGGGGAATGAACCTGAAGATAGCTGAAGTTAGTTCATCTTTTCAAAATAATGAATCTTGGTAGAACAATATATGTTGGTTGAGTGATCAAAGATAGTGGATACACTTATTGTGGTTCACAGAATGATCATTACAGATTTATAACAGAACATATCTTTCCAGCCTCTGTGAATATCAGCACAGCTCTCTTACAGTGCTCACAAGAGAGATTAGCTGCATTCATAGTACTTCCGGATCAAAACTATCCTCAAAACAAAACAAGCCACCAACTACTGTACAAACACAAGCACCACCACATTTTTAATTTATACATGGATACGATGGAGTCAAATTCTTTTGACAATATACTGGCATAGGTTTACAAAACCTTTAAATTATGAAACAGAATTTGCTATGTTTAGTACACCAGTTTTTCTCAAACAGGAATGGAAACAACAGAGAACTGGATTTGGAGCTTGAGAGATGGGCAAGAACTTGTTTGCACTTACTATAAAATTCAAACATTCCAACAAACTAGTCATTGTATATTGCCTGACTGAACTCATAAAAACTAGATTGCTTTTGTTTGCTTTGTGATTTCCCAGACTGCCAATGTCAGTAGCAAAAAAATTGGAAAACAAGTCAGTCACTTTAGGGAATGGCATTATTTGGGATTCAAGCGACGGTGCTTCTTTCCCCAGTACAGAAGAAGAAACCTACTGCTGTAGATTTGCCTTACTGATTTGGTGGCTGTGAAGTCCATATGCTAATGCTCCTAATGATCAGCCACTCCTTTTGGCTTTTGGTAACAAGTATTCTTATACAGTTAATATCAAAAAGAACTTTGTGCTCCACTTCTGTAATTTCCAAGTTTCCATTTTTAAACTCCCCTATTCGCAAGAAAGTAGTACATTGTCTCCCTTTTTTGCCCCCAACAATTTTACCCCCAACTTCCAGAGCTCCATGATGCAAGATGTCATTTTGTCGGTCTTCTGTTCCAGTGACAACTTTAATCCTGTTGATTTTAACAGGTTTTTCAAAGATGATGACATAGAAATCTCCAGTGGATGGAGCTTTGCCCCAGAAGTATTCATCTACACTACTATATGCCTTGCTTGCCTCATAATTTTCAAATACATTCATATTGGTGTGGAGGGTGGCAGGAGGGTTATCAGGAAGATCAAACGAATCCTCTTCAAAATCATCATCCTTCAATTTATTCTCAGCTCCTTTGTAAGATGAATAATATCCCATATGTTGGAAGAGAGATGGTTTGAAACGTATCACATCCTTTTGAGCCAAGAGCCCACGGAAATGTATCAGCAGCCAATCACAAGGCATTTCCTGGTAGAACATCAGCAAAAAATGGGCCAGTCGAGGGAGGTCATGGGAGTGGTATAACTTCCCAATATAGCCTAGCTTGGAAAATTCTAACGTCACCCAGTAGGTTCCCTCTCGTGAAGTTATGACTTTCTTAACAACAGTCAAGAAGTTTTTTGCACACCGAACATCATCTTCTAACATAACGTAATAATCAGAAAGGTTTGCACAGAAGTTGAGCAGGAAAGCATAATCTACATTTTGCTTGGAACGGAATTTCACCCGGTCTTCGGGGTCATTATAATTTCTCTTAAGGCCATCCAGTACTGGATAGTACTCTTCAGGAGTATGGATCACCATCAACCTTCCAGCAATCACATGATGGGCAAATTTCTGAGAAATATCTTGAACCATTCCAACACACCAAGTTGGATCAAACTCTGCCAGGTGCACCACTACAGCGATTTCTTTCAGCTCTTCATAACTTGATTGCTCAAATATGGACTTGATTGTCTCCAGCAAATAATTTCCTTTTTTTCGTTTGACTGAGGACAGTCCAATGGTAAGATATCCTAGACAAATAAAGAGAATCAAGTTTTTAAAAAGAAACGACATAGTGTTGTGATGTAGGGTGGACTGGGAGGGAAAGACCTTGGAGGTCAGTCAAAATAAATGATCTGAGTGATTTTTGTTCAAGACTGCTTACTCTAACAAAATTTCTGCTTTACTTCTTTGGGTAGCACTTTCCACCATAAAGCCCCAGTTCAAACTATTTTTGAAGGTATCTTATTTACCCTGAGGAAGGCATGGTAGCTTAGCAAAGAGGGCAGTAGGTCCTTCACATGCAGTTTGATCCTTGGCATCTCCAGGTAAAGGCTGGAAAAAGACTCCTGTTACAGACAGTGTTGACAGTACTGGTGTGGATGACCCAATGGTCCAACTCAGCACAAGGCAGTTTAAGTTCCTATGTGCGTTTCTGGACCTAAACTTGGTGGTGGTGGTGGAGGAGAGCAGCTGTTTTTTGCTTATTTAAATCAGATTGATCCTGATTAGATTGAGTGAGTTAGGTGGTACCCAGTTTTACATCAGGAGTAATTTGTATCTGTTAGCCTGTATGGTGAAATAGGAAGCTTTATACCTTTTCTCCAGAAAGACACACTGGGAGCATACTGAGGCTATTGAATTAAATATCCATTGCAAGAAGTAGAGTGAAATGGAGTAAAAGCCAAGAGGGATGTGTGCAAAGATGCTGGCAGAAAATATATATATATATATATATATATATATATATATATATATATATATATATATATATAATTAACGCTCTACAATCAGTCAGAGGAATGAGAATTCAAAGTTATGACTTGAAAACTGTTTACAACTCAGCCCATTAGAGAATAAAATACGAAATGATGAGCTGACTCTTTCTTTTAACAGAAAAGAAAACACTTCAAAAAAAGAAAGAGCAGTCATACCTTGGCACTTTCAAAAGTCATATCATTTTCAGTAAAAAAAAAAAAAAACTAAGCTGTGCTTAACTTTCTTCTATTGAAATCAATGGAATTTAAATATGCTTAACTTTGGGTTCATTTTGCTGTAGAGATATGTAATATTATTTTGAATAATACTGGGGAGGAACTTTCAGAGAGAATTTCAGAAAGAAGATTTCAGAACTGACAATTCCATGAACCAACCCGTAGCTTTGTAGGTACTGCTCGTACTTCCGTAGAAAAGGGACAGATTATATCTCTAAGCTGGCAAGGGGAAAGGTACTTTTGTACCAAATTGGCAATGGACAGGTGTGGACAAGAGGCATCAGAGGAGGATGGTAGGTCAAATACAATTTATTTATTTATTTGGAATATTTTTATCCCATCCTATACAGTTCAATTTTCTCAAATGCAAACGGCCAAATACAAGTTAGACACCTGGAGATCAACTGAAACATGAAATTAATCTTGGCCAAGTTTGAGGACCTTCATTAATACTACGCCTTCAACATCCCTTGTTTGCAATGGCTAAGCTGCATCACACATATTGCTTGTGAAATAATTTGCTGAGAAATAGGTATTTGACATAAATACAAGCCTTCATACCACATCCTGGGCTGAATCTCTTATCTCATGCTCATAGTTTGTATAACTTGTACGTAAGTAGACCCACAGGCATGTCCTTGTAGGACATTGTCATTATAATTTATAATTTTAGCCCTTTACAGTTTTCTCTCTATAAGTCAAACATGCCTGGCATAAAAAGGTATTCCAAAAACTGCATAATATGCCATTGGGATACTTGAGACCCCAAAAAACTGGGGCCACAAAATGTGGTCTACTACAGGTTATCTTAGTCTTCTATGAAGACTAAACATCTAGGAGCAAACCTCAAAAACAAACCTGAAATCCACAGGAAGAAACCATTGTTATGCTGACTGGAAGTTGATCAATCAAACAATAGGCCAAGGTATTGTTATGCCTTGGGTCAGGAAAGAGTCAGTCTGAAATAACCTACATTTGCTGAAATATGAAATCCATTGTTATGCTTGGGGAAACATTTAATTAAATTATGGCCTACTATAGGGAGATTAAACTTCATCAGAGGTGTTATTGTGTATGGGGTACAAAACCCAGCTTTTTTTAAAGCAGCAAAACACTCTAAGCATGCTAGTCCAATGCTACAAGGGGAAAATACACAGTAGGGCCATGCCTGTTTTAGGCACAACTAAAAATGGAGAGCAAACTTTTTGAGTCACCTATAACTCTTTATCAGACTGGATGCTAAGCAAAACATGGGTGGCTGGAGCAGCTTGTTTGGTGTCCAAGCAGGTCTTGCATCTGTGCAACTCTTCCAGTCCCTGAGCAGGCACAACTATATCATAAAATTGGCAATGTGTGGTGGTATGGCACAGCGGTTAGGGTATTGGACTGGGACTCAGTTCAGTGGCCCATCTATGGAGAACATTAGATGACCTTGGGCCTTTTACCTAGCCTACCCCACAGGGTAATATGGAAAGGAACAGGACGATTGTTGTTATGACACAACAACCTCCAAATTGGAGTAGGATATGAAAAGTGATGGCTGCAAATGTGTTGAGCTAGCCTAAGTTTCTCTCCCAGTCTCTCTCTCTCTCTGATTATAATATAGCACAGCAATCTAGCAAGGATAACTATTTTTATTATCCTAAGCACTTTGATGGAAAGATGGGAATGAAAATAAAGTTGTTGTCCACTATTCTCTACAATATCAAAGGGAGTAAAAAAGCAAATCCAGAGTTATTTTGCCCATAATTTGGCTGATATTCTGGTTTTGAAAGGCAAGTTGCTGAACCCTGTCTCAATTCTACAATTTAAGAATGCCCTTTAATTCATGTTACTTATAAGTTATGTGGATAAGGTAAATGTATTAATTTAAAATGAAGTTAAAACTTCTTGCCTGAACTCTATGAAACAGCAACTTGGCAGACTATTCTATGTCTGTTACAATTAGATCAGATAAAAATCTTGTTTTAGTTAATGAAATTGACATGTTCAGATACTTACTTTTTCTTAGCAAAGGTGTGCCTGCCAGATAGCGATAGGAAACGTTTATTGATCCTGAGAAATTGGACAGATCTTTAAAAGTGCGAACATATCGCTCTGAGTTTAATTGATGTGTTGCTGTATCTCTGATTAACTGTTTGTCTCCATCCTAGCAGTTGGAAGAGAAATAGAAATACTGATATAAAATGCATACATAGTGGAGGCTAATGCGAGGAACTGTAAGGAAGCAAATACAATTTTTATATAAATCTCAACCTTCATATTTTCCCAGCTGAAAGTGGATTTTCCAGGTGGAGATACACTTAATTTGGTGTGCCAAAATGTCCCATTGGAATTAATGGAACAAGTTTGCCACAAACAAACACAATTCAACCCATGTAGTCTGGATCTAATCCAATGTGACCATCTTTTTTCCTTCAGGGACCTTCTTACATTTCAGAGTAATAGCTTGTGTCCTGAGACCAGGGAGGGAGAGGATAACCATTACTGCATAAAACAGTACTTAGAAGATATCAGTGCTATTTTGCAAGGGTGAGGAGGCTGCATAGTTTGTAAATATGAACGGAAGTTCCACTGAACTAAAATAGACAGGCAGATAGATTGCCCCATTTTGGACATTTGTTAAAAATGGAACTTACTTTAACATGTGTCTGGAAAGTAATAACTTTTCCATTTGTATTGGGCTATAACACACACACACACACACACACACACACACACACACATATAATCTGTGGAATGTCTTCCTGCTATATTGATATTTTTATTGGAGAGAAAAAAACCCATCTTCAACATTCTGTCACCAAGTTCAAAGGCATAGACTCATAGGCTTTTGAAACAAGTATATGATGTGATTCTACTAATACAGACTCTCACTGTATGAAAGATGTTGCATAGTGTTTCAAATCTATCTCCTGTGCAAGTGTCTTCTTCATTTCAAAACTATGCTTCATCTTCCTTTATTGTACCCTCCCCTTCTCAGAAGATATTAATGTGAAAGCTACTTTGTTCTAGTGTCTCAAAGGAGGCTATGCACTGAAACGGAGATTTTAGAACTTTCTTCCATGGGAACCTCAATGTAGCTCTTATGTAATGTACCACTCTTATGTACATGTATTGGAAGTAAGTCCCATTAATGTAAGTTGAGATTATTTCTGAGTAAGCACGTACAGGATTGCATTGCAAAGTAACTTTGGTGATGGCACACACTAGATATATGGAAAAGATTCTCAGTAAGTCTTGAATATCCCAAGTCTTGAAAGCCCAACATCAGCAAGAAGCCTTCCACACATACAATAATACTTTGCTGTCCCAACGGGACTTTTCTGTTGCTTCCTCCTCTCCCTATAGAGAGCTGCATGTTCAACAAACCTCTGGGACCTCCGGATTGTGGTGCATGCAGGCGACTTCAGTGGGAGGGTAAATCCATTCTACCAGTGGTTCCTGTTCTGCCAGCAGATGGCCAACTTGGATCCAACCCCTAATCTCCACATATTGACTAAAACATTTGAACAATGTTCAGTTCTACATAATCATGAACAGTTCAAAGTTTTTGCAGTCCTCTATGCATTCCCCTCCTGCATCAGTCTATGTTATGACTTCTTCTCCTAGGTCCAGTCTGCATTACCTCCCAGAGGAAGAAGACAAGGTATGAAGAAGCTTCTTTTGATTCCTTTCACTACTTACTCCCTCAGAAAGGGTGGCTGACCAGGGAACAAGAGCAAGGAAGTTGAACAGCAGAGCCAGAAAACTCTTTAGAATGGTCGTGGGCTCCTGCCAATGTGCCTTAGCAATTGCCCAACACTACCAAGCTCTGACACTAACCCTGCATGTATATCAGGGGTGAGGGACTCGGAGGAGTGTGTTGGATAGGTGGTACTAGCAGAATGGCAAGGAGGTTACTCAAGATCAACAGATAGCATAGTGATCTTTCAGAGTATCCAGAAGCACAGATAGTTTCTTGGATTGATTCCAGGTGCTTATGCATAGCCTCAACTTGCATTAGTTAGAAAGAACACCAGAGATAATTGCTTTGTAGCTGTCTTCTCCATCATATTGTTTTGATTAAGGTTGGTTTTGCTGTGAAAAATGAAATTGTTTGCTTTATTGAAACTGTCTTACCTCCCCCCTCTCCATCTCCCAGGGCACATAGTTTGTAGCCTACTGATAACCTCTGAAAAACATGGAAGAGAGGAACTTAATAAATTTATGGCAAGAGGCATTATCCTTTGTCTTCGGCTTGGGGAGGGGATTTGATGCATTGCTTACTCAGGCAACTTTGGAAGCCCATAGGCAATCCAAAGAACAGTCTTAGAACCAGTATGGCCATGGAAGGGGAGTGTAAAAATTCTTTTGCAGTTATTGTTTATATTCTGGATCAGTGTTACAACTTTGTAATCAATAAACCTCATGACTTTCTTTCACCTGAGTAGTTTTGCTTCATATTGGTACTATCCTGAATCTACCTTGACTGGGTATCTGAGTAAACCAGGCTACCCAGATCAATACAGGGAGGAAGGGGCTAGTTTTGTTCCTGGAGTCACACTGTGGCTGTCCTCTATGAGACTCTATGCAGTGCTGTCGCTGAGTGATCCTTAAAAAAAGGATGTGTTAGTGCTATGGAGCACTCAATAAGTTGAATTCTGGATTTAAAAGATGGTAAATTTGATCTGTTTAGTTTACCACAGCACTAATTTAGCCAAGAAAGAGAAAACCTGACTCCCAATTTACAGGGAGAGTGATCAGAGCCCTGTGGGGTGCAGGGGCTATAGACAGCTATAGGATTCCCACCCTGATGTATATCTTTTCTTGATGGTATCTACCCTTATTAATAACACTACCCAACCACCTTATCTTGGGTGTTCAAAGGCATAAGGTTTGCTTGTATCTATGCAATCATAGCAGAGTTCTGAAATAAAGAATGTCTAGCTCCCCATGCATTTGGATTTGCACGCAGAAAAGCCCTAAAACCACACCTTGTACAATTTCTCATTAGGAAGAAGATAAATAATATATCAGAGAAGTCAGAGAAGCAAAAAAAAGTATGTCCAGGAAAGGCAACAAAGGAGGGTGCGGAAAAGGTTGAAAAGGAACAACAAATAAATATAGTCTATTTCACCATGGTTTGCTTTAATGATTGAACTAGGAACGAGTATTTAATTTCAGTTGTGTTTTCCAAGTTGCCAGAATTTGGAAAGATCTTCACATTTAAGGGAGAAAAACCTAACCTTGATATTAAAGAAAAGCAAATGTGGAATAAACTGAAATTGAGATATTTGTCCACCTAAGTTCAGGTTCTTAAATTATGTCAGGATGTGAATCTCTGTGCAATGATGTTACCTTTTTATTTAGTCTTTAACAACTATATGACAGGAAGGTACATGTTCCTTTCTGTGCTGGGAAAAGTTGTACCTGGTGTAGAATTTGACTGGTGTAGAATTCCTTTCAGTTCATGTTTGATAAGAATTTGCCAAAGTTCAGAAAGTTCTTCATATTTGGGAGTAAAAGAAATTGAGATTTTAAAAATTTAAAGGTGGGAAAAATCAATTGAAAAGATTCATTTATTCCTGGTCAGAACCTGAGCCTGCCCACAAACCATGGTTTGCTTGAGGTTGACTATGCAGGAGTAACTGATGGGAGCTTCTAGCCATGACTAGCACCAACTGTAGCAAACCAGAAATGCAGATCTGAATCTGGTTCACAAGGGTTTGTTTATTCCAAGTGTAGTTTGCTTTTTATACACAACCATTATTCTGCTTCTAGAGGCTGCTGTACCATGGGGGTGTGAGGAAACATGTGAAGCCGAGTCTTGAGGTGGGGAACAGTAGCAGATGAGCAGCCTCTAACCATCATTTTCCTGTTGTGCTCCCAAGAGCTCAAATATGGCGTGTGTCCTGAATGTAGTGCAAAACATGTTTCCACATTATGTCTAAACCTAGCCCTTGGATGGACCATAAAAGTCCCAGAAGAACCAGCCAAACAAAACTGAGGCTCTGTAATAAAATGTGCAAAATTTGGTTTAAAAGAAACAATGCAAAAAAACTTTTAATATAAAAAAGCAAAACAAAGTAAGCATAAGATAACATCAAGCCATCTGGGAAGTTCACATAAAGATCTGAAACAAGCAAAACAGAAACAGCATAGACTTCAATAAATAAAAAGCAGAGAGATGTATCTGGGGGATTTTGAAGCAATTAGCAAATCTAAGGAGGCATCAGCAAGAGTGACAGAAAATATGGTATAAGCCAGGCCAAATTTAATCACAAGTGAGGGGTTGTGAATAAATAAAAACCCACACAACTTCTTAATGAGAGCAGTGCCACCAGAGGAAGTTATGTATCAAAAGCTGAGCAGAATGCAAAAACATTACCGGGCATGGAACTCTCCTGCTGGTTGACTGGAGCCTGAACAACCCTACGCAAAAGCAAATCCTACAGGGGTGTAGTTTTTAAATGACAAAATGATTATATAATCAATTTTGCTAGAATACATTGCTCAGTCTTTTTAAGCCAGATGTAGGCTACCTGTGTCCCCGCAGGTGTGACTTAGCATGCCTGTCAGTCCTAGCCAGCATAGACAATAGTGAGTGCTGGGGGGGATTGATGGAGAGGCACAAGAAGCTCAACTCCTTTTTGGTACCTTAGACCAAAAAGAGCCCTTCCGTGGATGAAGGAGCCGCAGAACTCATCTTGAATGAGTGGGGCTGAAGGACGGAGTACATTCTGTATATTTATTGTGCTTGAAGAAGCATCTGGCTGGGTACCACTGGCAAGAGAATGGTGGACTGCGGGTGGAACTTTGATCCAAGCCAGCAAGGCAGATGTTATGTTCTTGTGTGCCTTGCTTTTCTTTCTCATTTAAGGACTGACAAAGCTCTCAATGGCTCAGCCTATGACAAATGAACAGAGCACATCTGCAGCACCAGCATCCAGAAGTCTCCTGATTTCAGCATTGCCTCAGCTTCTGACAGATGCCAGCTTTTATGGCCCTGAGCATATGCAATGAAGTTGATGTTTTAATGTTCCACATGTGCATTATTGCTCCACACACATTGAATAAATCATGCGGAAGTGAAGAGAAGGTTCCAACATCTCTATCCTCTCTTTCCTTCTCTTTAGTGATAGATAATTGTCTAATTGTCTGCTCCCATTATGGTCCACATGAAGTAAAGAACAATCCAGATTGCCCTCTGGACAAGCCATCACACTGATGTGAAACTCTTGTGACTCAGGCCCATCCTGACATCCTTCCGTTTGTTTATGTTGTATGTGTTTGTGAAGGCTTCACTGTTTGTTTTTGTGGTTTTATTCTTTTAAAGAGTAGCTTATTTTATATATTCAACCAGTGGTGCAACTAGGGACGGGCTTGGGAAAGAGGTCCTTCATCCCTGTGGGTCCCTGCCAAGTGCTAATAGAACAGCCAGTGATGTTTATGGCAAAACATGCCTGGCATAAGGAGGCAACTAAAGTGTGGTGATGTATACAGTATTCAATTTATTAATTTTCTTTAAAAATATAACTTTCTGGAAAATGGCATTTGCTTTCAAAGAGATGTGTTTAGCTTCAGCTTCAGGGAAAAGAACCCAGTGAATTCCATTTGATTTTTTTTTGTCCTGATGATTCCATGATGCAGGTGAGTTTAAATGTAAAACTATACATGCTGAGAGTATTCCACCCCCCCACAAAAAAGGTAGAGCTACCAAACTTTTGTCCTTTTCTTTCTTGAATCCCAGGAATGTAGAAGCAGCTGTAAAGCACGGAAAGCTGGTGGGAGCGGGGCAGGAAGGAAGAAATGCTAATCTTGTGCTCTAAGATGGGCACAAGCAGTCTTCCCCTGCTATTAGACCATTAATAGTTCAGGGACAGGCAATCTTGTTAGGCTTGTGGGCACACTTTTCAGTTGCAGAATCTGCCCTGAGCACTATCCCAAAATAGGCACATGCTGATGAAAGCATTAGCCTGTAGCCACCTGCCATCTTCATTCCCTAAAAGTGACTCTGAGCCTAATATGTGAGCCAGGGGCATCCACAGGCAAAGATACTGGGAGCAGCTTGATAGGCTTACTTGCTTTGAACTAATTCCAGTTGCCACTAAGAAGTGCTATGGGTGGGTGGGTGGGTGGGTGGGTGGGTGGATGGATGAATGAATGGATGGACAGAGGATAAAAAGTGGGCAGGACAGAGCACCTTGGCAGGACATGAGAAATGTGTCCAAGGGTGCAGTGATGCCAATGGGAATCACATTCCCTGCCCCTTCCCTAGCTGCATCACTGTGTTCAACTTACCAAGACATAGCTATCTTCAATGTATACATTCATGAACAACAAGCAAATGACCAGGACTCCTAGAAAGGATACTGCAGATCTCTTTCGTAAGCACCTCATTTTGTCCCAATGCTTCAGTGTGAGCCTCAAATGAAGAAAGGCATACGATACCTCCTAAAGGAGAAAAATATAGTAAAATATGTTGGGGATCACTCTTGATTGAATAATCTATAAGGTTAAATCTAGTAGGCTTGCTCTTCCTTGAAATTTCTTTCCACCAGTTTTCATGCATTTATAATCAGTATTGTGTACCATCAATTCCATTGATCAATTATCACAAACTTGCAAAAGTCTGAAATGTGATTTCTTTAAAAATCCATGTACATATTGCAGTGCTCTGCCATTTCTAAGTGACTTGTGCCAAAGTAGCTATGTACAAGCACAGATTAGATGCCTCTACTCAGCTCCCATGGCAAATGGGCAAACACCAGTGAATTCAGAGGAAACTGTGCATACTTGGGGGTGGGCCTAGTACCAGAGTCTTGCTGACTCTTTCTCTGTGTTGGCCTTCTTCATGCAAGTTGCATATTAAGGCAGAGGTGTCTTTTTATTGGTATCCAACTGAGACAAACCTCCATCTTAATATTCCTATGGTTATAGTATCCACATCTCTAAACTTTTCTATGAAATATTAAAATGTATGAATCTAAGACAAATATTTTCCAGCCTCTGATATGTGTTTCCTAATTCTGTTATGGGGTATCCCATTTATCTGCAATTTGGGTTGAATCCAGAAGTTCAAATATAAGTCAGTTAAACTTTATTAGTTATAACTAACCAAAAAGATCCATAGATTCATAGAATAGTAGGGGTGGAAGGGGCCATGTAGGCCTTCAGGTCCAACCCTCTGCTGGTGCAGGACACCAAGTTACACTAACCCCCTTAGATGACTGTCCAGTTTCACCTTGAATGTCTCTAGTGTGGGAGAGCCCACAGCCTCTTTTGGCAATTGGTTCCGCTGTGGTATGACTCAGAAAAAGCCTGTCTGGTGCTGAATCTGCAGGTTGATTTTTTTAAATAAGAAAATATTGGAGATCGCTTCATCATCTCTAGGTTTGTAAGCATATGAATGAGTGTGAAGCATGAACTAAAATACAATTTCTGTTCCTGTTGATCTGCATCAGACACAAATATAAGTCAGAATCATCCATTTTACAGACACCTGTAAAATTCAATTGTTTATCCCTGCTGTCAGAGACATCCAAAACCAGTTCAGATGGGTGAGTCTGAGCTGCAGATTCCATGGAGAACTTCTTCTCTCCAAGTCACATGGATTCCATGCACTTGCACCCAGTTTTTCACTCTGGGATACAGGTAGGATAGTTGCTGATACACATTAAGCTACTGGGAATCAGTACAACTAGAATTAAATTCTGGTGAAAGCAAAGCAAAGCAAAGCACAAAACACAAAACCATTAATGAATGAGCGACAGAACAAAAGATCCATAAACTACAGAAAGAATGGATTTAACACACTCTGTATATCATACTAATTTCTGCAGTATGAAACTTGCCCCCTCTGGATCTCCATGGTGGGCAAATACATATATGTCATCACTGGAAAAACTGGGAAGACCAAGGCTTTGAAAGAGCAGTTTTTGAACATGTTTCATGATGTGGAGTCCAGCACAGGACATATATTTAAAGATCTGTTCAACATATACAGAAATCTTCACTTCAGAATTCAGATGATGAGTCTTGACGACTTGTACAAATCATACAGAATATGCACACCCCCACATCTTTCTACCAATGAATTCACTGTGCACTGAGAACCTTTGAAAATTCACTTCCACATCCCCCTCACAAACCCTCCAGCTTACTCTAGCTTCCACCCTTTCTCTTATTTTATGATTACTACATTTTGCTTTAGAGCATTGTCAAAATTGCAGTAGGGAAAATTATTAAATACTGGAGCTTTCTTTTGCATTTTGCTGGCCTATTATCAGATAATCTAGTCAAATCGCACAAGTATCCCAAACTGCATTTTAATGGAGATGATCAGTGGAAACTCATTATCGATACCTAAAGCAAATAACACCTAAATGAGGCTCTGAAATGTCAATTGCTGTGTTTCATACTACCAAGTAATTGAAATTGCCTTTTCATCACGACTGGCCCTACTAAGAGACAGGATGAGACAGCTGCCTCAGACAGCAGGTCCTGGAGAGGTGGCAAGTGGCAGTGAGGTATTAAGAGCTGTGTGTGCCACTTGGTCCGCTTTGTACCCCCTGAGTTAGGCTGCTTCCCTCAGGCAGAGTGAAAGAAGCTGGCCCATTGTTCACGAGTCAGTCTGGTCACCTTCTCTGCATGGAAGTGGAGAGGCAACTTCTTGTCCTTCGCCTTGGGCAACACAATGTCATAAACCAGCCCTACTCTTCATGGTAAGCATGTGTTTTGTTTACAGAGAATTGTTGGTGGTAATAGGGACACTAATGTTTTAAAAATCATGTTAGCTTTAGAATAAGTCAGTGCTGTCCTTAAGACATTTTGTTACATTTAAATGTCTTGCTGCACCATTCAGACATCAATTTCCTACCTTTATGTCCTGGTGGTATTATGTCATCTGTACCTTCTGCCTGGCAGAGCATGCCCTACAACAGCTCTGATGTTATGTAGTGTGTTGTCATAATCCCCCACTAAGTTAGCCTTTTCACTCATGTTGAACAACCACTGTTGAACAACCACTTCCATTATCCAGAGCCAAAATGATGGCTGTGGAGTTGTAGTACAACATATACGGATGGCACCAGTTTGGGAAGGCTGACCTAAGTATTTTTCAAGTGTTCTAGGGTCACAAAAAGGAAAGATTGCTTTAGAAATTTGCAGATTTTCCCTGAGATATGGAACTGAGCAAAGGTGTATTTATGTGCATTTGAAAAAGACTCAATTATCTCAGACAATGGACAAGTTCAGGGCTTAAAATGAAATAAAGTTCTGGTGAAAGACATAACAATGGCATCACCATTTAAATCCATTCTATGACCTACAATGTGCGGTGGGTACAGTTCAGGTGCTGCAAGATGTAACTTTTGCCAGAAGTGTTTTTATAATCACTAGATGGCAGACTTGGCTCTGCATCTGTTCTGCTACTTTTCCATAAGATTATCTTCACTTTGATTCTCTAACACACTTAGGGCCAGATCTGACCTAACTTTTTCCCCTGTGAAGGAATTCATATACATCAAAAAGATTATGCCTGGATTCAAAACCTGCATGGAGTGTTCAGAAAAGAAGGGCAAATATAAGAGCTGCTCAATGAAACCTGTTCCCCAAATCCAATAAGTATATATTTGACAGAAAAGTGACAATTAGGGCTTGATTAAGATGTACTTCAAATGCTCTATTCCATTTTGAAAATGTGAATCATTTCACAATGTAAAACAAGATCAAGAAAATTGAAAAGATCAGACAATAAAAAGTGGTGTGTGGAGGGAAAGGGTAGGCAGGGTTACACAATGTTAATTTGCCTTCACATCCAGAAATAGAGACACAAGGAAATAAAAAAGGATTAAAAAGAAAGGGGCACCACTCTGTTTATTTAATTAGCATATTTGCAATGGGATAAATGGTTCATTGGCTTCCTTACTTCCCTTTTTCCAGGGAGAATTTATTACTACTAAAGACAAGAGCATGGGAAGATCTTTTGCTGCCTTTCTTGCCCATGCATCCCTCAAACCTACTGATAAGTTCTTTAAATTCTGACATTTGCCTTACTGCTTGTCTCTAGCTAGTGATTTTTCCCAGGACTAGTGGAGTTATCTGCAGCAGTGGTATGTTATTTCACAGGTAACTTTATGATAGCGAGCTGAAGCTGAGAAGAACACAATGGCATAAACATACCATGCTGGCTCAGACAAAGGCCTATTAGCCTAGCATTCTGTTCCAACAGCAGCCAACCAGCTGTGCATGGGACCCCCACAAGGAAGACATGAGTACAATCACAGCTTCCCACTAATGTTCCTCAGCCACTGGCATTCAGAGGATACTGGCCCCAATTGGAGGCCATGTGAAAGCATCATGAGCAGCAGTCATTTGTAGCATTCCTCACTCTGAATTTTTCTAATCCCTATCACTAACTGGTGTCCATCCAAACTGGTGCCCAGCAGTGCCCTTATGGCAGCAAACTGAATAATTAAGTTCTATCCCATGTGAAGAATGACTTTCTTTTGCCTGCTCCAATTCTCATACCATTCAGCTTCATTGGAAAACCTCAGGTTCTAAAATTATGAGAAAGGGAGATGTTCCTCCCTGTGCATTTTCTCCACAGTGTGTTTTAGTGTATGTACCTCTATCATTTAGAAGTATAATTGACAAGGGGGCAGAATTGTCATGTTCCCTCTGCCTGCTTGCATAGTGCACAATGCCACTTTGAACTCTTGACATGCACAAATGGTTCTGCCCCATGTTGTTGTCATGGAAACATTGGTTTGTTAACATGATTGTTATCAGAAACAATGGCTTCTTTTCAAAAGGAAATTCTCAAAATGCTATATGAAAGGACCTTCCAGATTTTTAACTCCCAGGCAGATTTTGTGTCTAATTTAGAGCCCTCTTTGAGGAAATTGGGAGGATTGCTGTGAGTGGAAGGGGCTTTTAAGTGGTGGCACCCTGACTCTGGAATCAGTTCCCCATAGAGATTCACCTGGTTCCTTCTCTCCTCTCTTTCTGGCACCAAGCAAAGCCCTTTTTATTTCCCCAATATTTTAATAGTTCAAATATTTTTAAAGGGACCTTATGTATTTTTATCTATTTGGAATTTATTACATTTCATTGCTTCTATATCCCTAGATTAACTTAAGTTGTAGGTTTTGGGGCTACTTCACTGTGTTTTATGATTGCTATGTTGTTGACACATTTCTATGTTTGATCTAATGTTATGGTTTTAATGTATAAGCTGTCTATTATGACTTTGTAAACCACCCAGGCAGCCACTTTAACTAATGGGGGGCGTAGAAATAAAATTAATAAACAATGCCATCCCATTTTGTTTCTGTTCATAATTTGACAGGACCATCTGTAGACTTTACAATGAACTAAATGGAATAAATAGTCCTTTGCCTTCATATTTTCAGGTTGATAGATGTGCTTGCTATGGGAATGAGAAGTAGAAATATTTTCAAGGAAAAGTTTTCTTTCTGAGAACATCCATTGACATTTTCCCCCTTATATCCTCTTGCTTTTCTCCGTGCACCCTTTCTAGTTACCATTACTTTCTGTTTCTGGGATCACTCACACAGACCACCTCAGGCAATCAAGACTCACATAGTAAATGACTCAGACCTTTAATAATCATAAATCTATGATTATTAAACTAATGTGACATCTAACCTATGATGTCACTGAAGACAAACAAATTGAATGGACAGTAAAAACAATATTTTGGTCTCACACTTGATCCTAGACAATCAAGGATCATGCAGTAAATGTGATGATTATGTAGTAAATGATGGCAAACAAAGTCAATTGGAAAGAAGGCAAGGCAAGGCAAAGAACATTAATGAAGAAGCAAATATTCTCATAGGCATTGCTGAAAAATAAACAAATACTGGGAATAATTTCACAACATCCAGTGAGT